CGTCCTGAGCAGCGGGCCCAGGTCTGGTCCCAGCGACGTGGCGGGCGGTGGTGCCCGCCGGGCGCTTGGGGCTTTCTCTTTAACCTGCACTCGAGGGGGAAACCTGTAAGACTGAACTGAGGTGGCGCGCGGTGGATGGGTGGTGGGGATCTCACGGGACATCACACATCGCACCACCATGAAGGATGATGCAAGGAATACAGACATGTACTTATTTTTTTAAGATGTATTTATTTGTGCATACAGAGCTGGGGTACGGGCCAGAGGTGCAGGGGCGGTGAGAGGCTTCAGTGGGGAGCAGAACAGGCCGACTGATGAAGGACACTGCTGAGGGGAGCAGCGGGCGGTCAGGAGAGGTCTGCCGCGCCCTCTGGTCGCCTCCGGGGCAGGCGGGGATCGAACTTGTGCTAAAGTGGCATTAGCTTCTCAGTGCTGCGCTGTAACCCTCTGCGCCACCAGGGACGGCCCAAGAAATACATATATATTTTTTGGTTTGTTTTAAATTGTAAACTGTGCCAAAGGTCCAAATGCTTTCACACTGGGCCAAGCGCTGTGTGTGACAGCTGGTGTGACTTCCTGAGCATGCTGGGCTTTGCACGCGAGCTGTATGTCCGGGCCTGTGCTCAAAGCAAGTTGAGCAACCACATTTGTGCAAAAGGCCGCAGGCTTCAGGGCCAGAGCCTGGGGGAAGGAGGGTGTCTGGGCCACACTTCTTGCTTATCCCCCCACTCCTGCTAACCCCCCCCCCCCATTTCTATACCTTTGTCCTCTAAGTTAACTTTAAAAGAAAAGTCACTGCTCTCTGGCAAGAGGAGGCTGCGTCGCAGCTGTGAGCTCGCAGCCGGCCGGTCATCTGTGGTCACAACCGAAACGGCAGATCTCATCCCAGCGGGGGTGGGGGGCGGGGAGAAGCTCCCTTTGCGGGCAGGACGCTGAGGGGGCCTCCCCCCCGCTCCCACGGCTGGGTGCATGCCACTGCGTTGCTTCTGCAGACCAGCTCTGACTCGGGACCCTATTGTAGGGTCTGGGCCAGACAGGCTGCCCTGGACCCGTGCCTGGGTCTGAAGTCAATTAGTAATGCCTGGTCCCGACTGCCACCTCACCTGGCCATGCCTGGACAGGACCACCTGGTCACCACCTCCAGGAGACCTACCCCGAAGCAGCAACACCCACCCACCCCACCCCCCACACCCACCGTGGAAATCTGAAAGATGACTTGCTTGCAAGCAGCAGCTTGAGCCACAGGCAGTGAGCCTCGAGTGTTCCACTGTGTTAAAATCCACTATGAAAAGGGCTAATTTTGTCACATTCTTCTACTATCTGAGGAGTGCGGTCCCCTGAGCTCCGACTGCCCGTTTCACACAGTCCCCAGAGCTGCGCTTGGGGCTCTGGCCACCCGGCTCAGAGATGTCGCGGGGGTGCCCCTGGGCTCGCGGCATCGGCTGCTGAGGCACGTCCCGGACGGAGCCTGGTTGGGGCTGCTGCCTGGGAGCTCCCAGGGCCTCGCCTGCCAGGCGGAGGCCGAACGGCAAGGAGCGCTCTGCCTGCTCGGATTCAGGGCCCCTAATACTTATGCCTCCATTTTAAAATAACAACTCCTGTGCGGCTGAGCAACAAAGGCTGTCTCCAGGAAGTTAAGGAATCGCTTCTCCTCTGGCAATGTCCCCCACTTTGTCCCAGGGCATTCTCTGGAGGGGAGGATGCGGGCTCCAGGTGAGGACGCCCCAAGCCAGCCTCTTCGTAGCCCTGATGGGCGGGGCGGTTCCACTCAGACAAACCCCGCCTCAGCCTCTGCCCCTGTTGTTCACATTGACCAGGAGCACATTCCGCTTTGGGGGCCCCTCGGCTTGCTCTGACCTGCCCCAGGTGGGTCTCCGGGGTTTGCAGTGGGGGCGAGTGGCCACAGTGGAGTGCCGTCGGGAGCAAGGTGCTCGGGGCCGCACGAGGGGCGTGAGCCCAGGCCCCAGGTGGCTGTCGCCCACCGGGCCTGGCTGTTGCGACCCGCCATCTCCCCGGGCTGCCTGCAGCGGGAGCCGCGCTGTTTCAGCCCTCGGTGGTCTCTGCCTGAGACCCCGGTGCGGCGCTCGCTCGGAACACCAGAGAGCAGCTTGAGGCTGGGAGCGGCCGACTGGCCTGCTGGAGGCCCTGGAATTGGGCGGAGGGGCCCAGGGGGCCGGGCGTCGCACGTCGGCCAGTGTTGCCAGCGGGAGGCGCAGGTCCAGAGCGCCGGAGCTCAGGGAAGCTGGCCGAGGCCCTGCTGGACGGCCGGTCTCCCCATAACTAGCATTCGGTCGGGCTGCTGGGCCAGGCGACCGCCTCCTTCGCAAGCGCGAGCCGGCGTGAGCACACTGCTTTTCAGGGAGACACGGAAGAGACCGTGCACCCTCCCGGGGTAGCCGAAGGGCCCAAGCAGCGCCCTGCACCAGCAAAGAAATGGGCGTTGTCTGGCTGGAGCTGGGAGGGAGGGGTGCAGGTGGGGCCTGGCTTCCGGCTCCCAGCCCCGTCCTCGGGCTCTTTCCTCTCCCTTCTTGTAACCCCAGTCCCTGCTCTTGGGACTTCCAGAGAGGAGCAAACGGAGGGGTTGCACTGTGGTGAGGAGAGGACGGGGTGGCAGTCCCAGGGACTAGTGAGTTGTGGCGGCCCAACGGCCACCGTCGGCGGATGGCACTGCACCCGCAGCTCAGCAGCGGAAATGCTGCTGCCGGCTCAGGCTCCCTGCGGGCAGGAGTCGGCTCAGATGGAGCCTCCACGCCTGTCGGCACCGAGCCCGTCCAGGCGGTGGGCGCACCTGCCTGTTTCCCAGCACCGGGGGAGCCCCAACCTGGGGGAGCCCCAGCACGGGGGAGCGAGAGGCCCAGTATTTGGCTGGCAGTGGGTGCCCGCAGGGGGCTTCGCGGCAGGGAGGCTCACAGCACGGCCTGTGAGAATGTCACGATCTCGTGTGACGTGTGCCAGCCTGAGAGTGAGTACCCAGGAGCCAGACCAGGGGGCCACAGGAGTCAGCCTGCCCAGGCGCTTTCATGGGTGCTCAAGTCTCTGCGTGTTGTATACACACAAGGCTTCTAGACCTGTGATGGCTTTATGATTCGGGTGTTTTCACTGTGAGGCGATGCTTTGGGAACTTGCGCCCAGGGACTGCAAGCAGCGAGAACCGCCGTGTCTTAGGGAGTCACACCTGCGGTGAATCTGGACGTGACTCAGCGGCTCACTGTTTATTTCCGAGCGGTTTGAGGCTACCGTGAGCTTAGGCGGCTCTCCGTTAATGACCTTGGGTTTTCAGGGCTTAGAAATGACTTCACTGGCCCTCCCTGGGGGCGCAGCGGGTTCCAGCACAGCACTGAGAAGCTAAAGCCGCTTCCGCATGAGTTCGATCCCCGCCTGCCCCGGAGGTGACCCCAGGGCACGGCAGACCTCTCCTGACCCGCCCGCTGCTCCCTCAGCAGTGTACTTCGTCCATCTGCCAGTTCTGCTCCCCACTCTGTCTCTGGTGAAGCCTCTCGCTGCCCCTGAGTCTCTGGCCTGTACCCCAGTTCTGTATGCACAAAATAAAATAAATCTTAAAAAAAAATGATTTCACTGCCTAATTTTTATTTGAAAGAAGAAAGGAATCGTTTCAGCCTATGATAAATTGCAAGTAATGGACTTTTCCACTACATTTACCGAAGGTTGAATTTTCGTTAGTAAAGTTTGGTGGTTGAATTCCCTTACGAACCTCACCTGTCGTGTCGAAATTATCCCCAGGTTATTTTGAGTTTTTGTTCCTGTTGCAAATATGTTTTTGAATATGATTTCTAATGACTTTCCTGGAACCACGAATGTGACGGATCCTGTGAGGCTTCCATATTAACTCTAAGAATGCTCCTTAGGCCCTGGCAGCCAGGCCGGCTTCTGTTTCCTCCTTCCCAGCGACTGCAGCTGCTGATTTGCCCTGGTTACGTGCCCTGATTATGTCTCTGGAAGCAAGTCCCTTCAGAGTCAGATCAAGCTCA